TGTCTATACATATTTTTAGCCATCATGTGTTCTTCTAGCAAAAACTGAACATTGACACCAGTTTTAGTCTTCATGCACGCCAATTCTACTTATAATCACCAAATCCAATTGTTTTATGGCAATAAATCCTTAACATATAAATTCGACCTAGTATATTTTCTTACCATAGTCTGACTTCTGCTAAAGTTTATCACATGTAAAATACTTATTAAGGTTGAACTTCCTTTGATTAAGTATTACTTTCAACCATAGTTTTTCAACCCTCTACCTATTTCACGAGTTCATGATTGTCAAATCAGTATTCGATTCAGATAAAAATAATATATTGTCTAAAATGTATGTACAATATTGTTCACATTAAACAAAAATAGACTCACGTGGTATAATTAATACAATATAAATAAAAATATGGTAAACTACATGTAATCCATTTCATTTCTAAGGCAACTATACAACCCTAAAACTATGTTTACATTCGAAYAATACATACTTCACACTTGACTGACTTCAGTCAAAATATTCAAAAACTGCCATATTTCATCATGATAATACATGACGTATTACTAAGAAATACTATGACCATGATTACAGGATTTAGACTTAAAGAAGGATGAGATGATAATAACTAAATAAAAATTATTAGGAAAATATATAATATTTCTTTAATGACTTACTCTTGCTCACTAATACATGGATAACTAAGTTTCTTAGGATATCATTGATAGTGAACTATTCTCTCCCCTCCCCATCCTCGCAAATAACAAACCCCATTATATCAATAAAAGCCACAAAACAAGATTATAAGTGAAGTTGTAATATGGAACAATAGACATGCAAAACAAAATGCAATTACAAAGCACTAAGGTGTGCTGAGTCTAATATCTATTTCAAGAGTTTTATGTRCTCAGCTCATTTTAGCAAAATTTTCCTTAGAATGTTTTCTCACTATTAGCATTAGACAATTATTACTTAAGTCAAATKATTATAGATGTATTAATATATTTTATGAACAGTTTTTTAATAAGTTTAGAAATTAAAAATATTATATTCAAACATATATATTCAATTATTTAGAACTAAAATTAACAACCTATATAGCATCACACTATTTATTAGAAAAGATGAAGTAACTCTAGAAAAAAAGATTCTTTAAAAAAAGTGTGTAACACAATTTTTTTTGCTTTCCAAAAGAATTGTTTTACATGGTAGACCGCCTCAGTGCAGGTTGTCACTTTTCAAGGCTATATTTAAATCAACTGACTTTGCAAGTAAAATTAAGCTTACTTTCTACATGTTTTCTATATTCCCAGCAAAACAGATGAAGGAGCTTGATTAAAAAATTACATATCAAGGCTTAAATTTTTGGAAAACTATTTCCCAATAACAACATTCATTGCCAACCTTGTCTGCTGCATCCATATCTGCTTACACCATAAAAGCTGTTTTCTGTTTTAAAATTAGGAGACCTCTGCAACTTAACTGCCAATCAGCAAATCAACAATAACCATTTTTAGGAATATAACTGTTTTGTGGAAAGGATTTATAGCCAGCAATAATTCACAATTCTCTAGCCAAACAAAGGACATGTAATTCAGTATGCTTCAGGGTAAATGTATAGCTAGACAGTCATTCAAGTACATATTATTCAAGCATAGCGAAATTACCATTGGATGTGGGCATAGTCATTAATAATTTAAAAGAATTACTTTTAGCCTCAAACAAAGTTTGACTCTTTTATCTGTGTTGAAAATCTTTACACAGATTGTAAAAATAAGGACTTTGGAAAGTAAATTTGAAATATTAACATGGGATTGTCATAAGAGTTCATCATGAAAATTTGTTCATACTACAATGTGACGAATCCAATTAACATGAAATTTAATTAGAGTAAATTCAAACTCATGAACCCTTTTTGGTACATACTGATAAATAACCACTGTTTCACTTGAAACAGTGGTCAGAGAAAAAAAAAACCATGAACTTAAAGGTGCAATAGACACCTACTAACATGAAACACAAATTTTGAAGGTAAATAATCTATGTTTATAATTTATTACAATAATTAAATATTTTGCTATAAAAACTAAACACAATGGAGGATAAACTGACAAACAGGATCTCTAAAAGCTCAAGTGTCTCAATAGATTGATGCACAATGTATGGAGCAGACACAATCTTTTGAAAACTACCAAGACACGAAAATGCATGAAAATAAAAAAATGAGTTAAATTCACTAATCACCMTAAAATGGGCAGCCGGTAACAAAAGGAGAGATTGGTGCTGTATACATGATACTAGCTGATTATATACTGATACTGCACTCAAGTTCGAGTGCTACATATATARGGATATTGCACTTATCCCATACTTCTCTTGGTAAATTTAATTAATTTTGTACTTTAGACTTATCTTTAGAAGTCTTCTATTGACCCGTAATCATGTACTAAGTTGCAAATTTTGGTACAAAAAGTCTTTGATAAAAAGCCTGGTGGATTCAAACCAGAGTTGTTCTGCACACTCGTATCCAGACCTTTCTCAGTCTCCCAACAGAAAAAATGAAGGCTCTCYACGGAGACAAATGAGTCAATCTTTAATTTGATTGGCGCAAACATTCTCATATGACATCAGTATGATACATGTATATTGTACGACCTATAATAATCTGGGTCTTCGGATTTAACCATACAGCCTTGAAAAGGGTCTGGGTAAGAGAATGTCAAAAACCCATCTTAAACTACTACACAACAACTGATAGGAACTTATCAACAAAAAGTCTTTTTGTCTATTGCAGTTCAGATTCTTTATCTTAACCTGAATAGAATGATACAACAATGTAAGTTATTATATAATATTAATAAAACAGATATTTAAGCTTGAAGTTGGTGTTTTTTTCTAAAATTTCTACTATTCTTCTACTCTTAATATATATATTAAAGTATTTTCTCATGTTCTATTCAACAATATGTTATTGTGGACTTACAATGAGTTAAGTAGTTAACTTACTAAATAACTTAATGGGTGATTAAGTTTATAGCTCAGGAACACTGAGAACACGATGAAATATCCGCCCCCAACATTTACCTTATAAATATATTAAAAAACATCGCAGTTTTGAGTTACATACAATAAACGTACTCAGTACATTCTTTTTCTTAAACATAAGTAAAAAAAGTAATTAGCAAACCATTGCTTATTCCATAAGACCCGTTTGATAACATTTGGCTGGTGTTATGCAAGCTTTCTCACTATGATTGGCGCGGTTAATTAAGCRTACTTTATAAACAAATAGTATGTTTTGAATCACATGTTTATATAAAACTATCAAAGCAGCCTAACCTTTCCCTTGTCACGCTTGAAACGTGCATTCCTGAAGCCTCCAGCTCCAAGATCTCTCTCACTATCTGTTATGGATATTGCTGGATTTGATATTTGTACATTTGGTAATCTCTCTTCGGAGCTATGATCGGAATCGGTATAAAACGGTTCTTCTCCTTCTCTCCAAGCCCTCTGGAAAGCCATTGGCTTTTATCAGGGACTTTTCTAATCCTTACAGTACATTTTGAAGAGCAAAATGCATTTCAATTGTTGTAAACTTCTCAAGCTTTCATTTCCTAACAATGTGGTCTCAGTGCAAAGTTCAACGAAAACACTACTGTCATGTTAGTGGTACCCGTGCCTCTCTCGGCTGTCAATTTAATAAACGGGGAAGCCCGGGGAGAGGAGGAATGACGTCCTTTGACTTTTAAATCGTATTGAATATAGAATTTAATTTTTTTTTTGCTCGTATTTTTTTTTTGTTAATTAGTCACTACAAAAATTTACACCATTAGAGTAATATCTATTCCAATCAACAAATTTTCCTCCACTCTCATTGGTTGAAAGTCAATCATGTGATGCAATAGAGCCCTTTGCAGAGGTCTAATATCAGTGCAGAGTCCACCGCCTCAGAAAATTTTCTTGTTGAATATTAAAAACAATAGAACTTGAACTGCTTTCTTCAGAGACTATTTTTTTTAAATTCCAGTTTCTGCAGGCAACTATCACAACATAATGCTCCCGATTCAGTTACCCTAGTGTTAAAGACCAGAAGCCATGCATAATACTCATTCATTTGTAAGTTTTTCACTAAGTGACTGAACTTCTGATCCTCGTCTTGATTTTTTTGTGCTTGCCTACATCTATATCACAAAGTTCAAGCACTTGACAACATTCYCTGGGTTATAACTGTATATTAGTATGAGGTCTCATTGGCTATTAAGCTTTATAACCTTCCTTCCTAAAAAAAAAACAGTATTCATCTTAGAAAAAAATTTATTTACTTCAACAAGAATTCTTTAGAAATTTTCTAAACCAAATCTACAGACAGGTTTTATTTGGTGATACATAATATATGTGCTCATTTTAAAATTTATCACTTTAAGTTTATCATATCGTAGTCTTGTTTTATCAGGTAGTCCAGTGGAGTATGCACAGGTTTCATAAGGGTTTCTAGCAGGTGTTCCAAACTGTTCGACTATCTAAAAATGTATTACTCTATTGATTTGGCAAATAAAGTCTCTCTAAATATAGACTGCCRTGTGCATGTACAGTCCATATGTCTACCATAATACTGCACCATAATTTTAGCCAGTTTAGAAATAGGTATTAAATTTTCCTTTCATGCTTACTGATTAAAAGCTACGCTAACAATGCTGGATTAAGTTAAAAACTTTTAGCCACTGAATAGTTTGTAATTACTGTTCATCYTGTTTACATTATCTTGAAGATATCTTAAGTTTTTAGACCCTTTTGTTTCAAACTAATTTAGACTGAGATGTGCTCTTTTGTTTTCCATACCAAAATATAATTCCTCCAAGAAGCGTCAGAACCATTCCAATCCAGCTTACAACAGAAACATTATTGCCAAATACTGCTAGRGATGCAGCAATGCARAATGCAACTTTGATGTTACCAAGAATGTGTAGTGTGACTGCTGATGCTTGGATACTGACAAGAAAACCAAAGATATTGTAGCTAAATGCTGACAGTGAGCTCAGTACAACAAGGCTGAACATCTTGAGGTATGGAACATGGAGCTGCAAAATGTTCACCAAAGCCTGCTCTTCAAAAATGATTCCAAAAATAAGAAGGAAAATAAAACTTGGGAAAGACATTAAGTACAACAGATAAATAGTGGTTTCAACACATTCTCCTTTCAAAAGATYTTCTTGTAGCAAGCTTTTGATAGCTCTTAAAAAAGTAGACATGACTGCACACACAAAACCAAACAGGACAAATTCTGCATCACCAATTGTACTTAACACAGCACCCCCAACCAGAAAGCACATAGAATACCAGCACCACAATGAGTATTTTGACTTGAACTTTTCAGACTTCAAGAACAAAAGTTCAACTAAAAATGTCGCTACTGGTGTTAATGAGCTGACCATGTTCATAAGAGGCAAACCCAAATACTGCAAGGCAATGTTACCTAACGATATACTGACAGAGAAGACAACGCTGAGGCATAATACTTTAAGCCATAATCCACGAGGCAGATTCGTCAGCGTACCTTCTCTATTTACAGGTCTTAAGAACAAACGACAAAGCATAAACGATGCTAGCATGTGAAGAGAAGTCAGAAGAATTGGGAATTTTGCACCTTCCAGCTGAAATAAGCTTTTGTTGACAACTCCAACAAGTGCACTCGAACAAAACCAGCCAAGTACGATGGCGATAGCGAATGTTCCTCGCCTTAAAATTCTCGCTACATCTGATGTCTCAACTTTGTTCGACATAGCATTTCCAGTGATGACGACTACTCTTTCAGTACGTTGCGCCCAGGCACTGAATATGGAGTGCGTAAAATATTTCAAGCCTTTATACTAAATATAATATTTCCGCCTCATCAATGATATGGCGCAAATCCAAGCACTTATAATGGTAGGCTGATATAAGCTTTAAGTAGATCGTGACATCATCTGCAGGTTACTGTATGTCCGCGTTCGATTCGAYMACTTGGTCATGCATTTTTGATACGAATGCTGCACCTAAAAAAGATGAATGATCACAAAAATTCATTAAGTTATTTGAGCTTAAAAGGATCTGAATAAGTTGAGCATGGTGAGTGCATTGCCCTTCCTTCCTAATTTTACCCATGTTTCCTAACTACAACTCCAGAAAGCAATGCCTTCAAAAGCACTTTTATGATATAAAAAGCTATACGTGGAGCTAAATGTGCCTAAATCATAGATAAGCTTTGATGCATTAGCCCTGCACAAATGTAAGGCAACATGCAAGTTTTGCATCCTCACTGCAACTGTAGTGTTGAGCCCGCGATACTAACCAGCTGCAGTGTAACCTAGCCTTATTAAAGATGGCGTCGTCCAGCTCCGAAGAAGATGAAGATGAGAGAAAGAAATTTGCAGAATTAGCAGGAATTGCGGCTAAAGGTTTTTATTWTCGCATTATTTATACAGCTAATATGCTCAGTACTTAAATACTAAATTATATCATAGATGTAAGTGATGCTTATGTCAAAAATGCMCGACCGATGTCTTCTTCATCTGCAAGGTTTGTTTGTCTATGAAATGTACGAATCAAAGGTATTAAAATTTAAATCTTATGATTAGGGGAATGTAAAGTATACTGTACCACGATAAAAGGTTTCTCCTCTGTTATGGGATATTGACATTTCTTTACTAACATGTGATAACAAATAGGCAGACGTCACATACATGCACACAGGTAGCCCACAGATACTCCTTTATTTGGCTACACCTACTTGCAGAAACGTTGTCGTAGAAAATAGGACATTTGTATTTAGTAACAAGGAATAAATTAAAAAGATAAAGGAAGATCACTGAGGCTGAACGCTCTCTTTTGTATTGTTTTAACTTATTCCTTTTTACTAAATTCGAATGTTCTATCTTCTATGACAACGTTTCTGCAAGTAYGTGTATATCTTATATTTTGACCACTTTATCATTTTCTTCAGAACAAACAAAGRAGTTGATGAGAAAGAAATTACAGATGGTCTAACACCAGAATTCAGGAAACATATTGCCAAAAAGTTGTCCTCATACATAGAAAGGTGTGTTTTTAAAAAACTAATAGAATAAATTTAAAGTCAAATCTTCATATGCAATAAAGTAAAGCAATTAAGTACTATGCAGTGATAATGGTAAGACTTTACATGATTTTAGMTGCTTGTGTTGCAAACCATTGCATTATTTCATGATGTAGGAGGCTGGCCAGATACGATAAGCCAGAGAAAACAAATTTCTTAATTTCTATATTTACTGTTTTGTAGCTGCATAGATGAGCAAAGTGGTAATCCTAAAGAAGTAAAAAACAAGATGAAGATACCTGGAATTCATTTATTTAGATTATCAAAAGAGAAGATTGTAGATGTAGAAAAACAAGTTCAAAATCATAGTACTCCACAACTCTCAAATAAACATGCACAGTCTGTATCAGATTCTAGGTATGGCATACATTTTGCAAAGTTTTCAATAAACCATTCTGTTGTCTCTAGAAGTTACACCTACTTGCAAAAACGCTGTCATAGAAAATAGGACATTTGTATTTAGTAAAAAGGAATAAATTAAAAAAGACAAAAGAAGATCACTGAGGCTGAATGCACTCTTTTGTCTTGTTTTAATTTATTCCTTTTTACTAAATTCAAATGTTCTATTTTCTATGACAACGTTTCTGCAAGTATGTGTATATTGATATTATAGAATTTTAAAATGCTATTATTTAAATATGGACATAGTAGCAAGCACTTCCCTAGCTATACAGATCACATAAACCAATACATGGCCATGATGTACTGTGTATTTTGATTTGATTACAGTGATGATGACAGTGAGGCTTTGGCAAGATTTGCAGAAGCTGCCGTGTGTGGACAGTCCATCATTGATAATGGTATGTATATGAACAATAAGAGTGCACATCCAATYGAAAAAAAAGAAAATGATTTACACTATCAGTCTTCACAGGTATTTTGTTTATGGTCCCTCTAAAATAATAATAAAAAAAACATTGTGTTTTTGTCAGTTTTAATTGTGTGAGTTTGTGCACCTTGTTTCAAGAGATGCTTTAGATTAATGACATTATTTCCTAAATATCAGGTATTTCAAACAAAGAGAAAGATGGAAATCAAAATCTTATCGCTGAAGGGAATGATTCAACAGAATCAAATGAACACAAGCACAAAAGAAAAAAGAAAAAGAAGGAAAAGTGGAAAGAATCCAAAAATGAGAAAGARAATCACAAAAGAAYAAAGCTGAAAAATTGTTGAAATGAACAGTTTTTAGATTATAAAAAATATTTAGATTGTTGGGGTGACAAAACATAATAGTTAGTTACTCCCAAGAGAYCAGTAATCGTGGATCTACTTGAGTTTTGAACATTTTATGGTGSCAAAGTGGGTCAATAATAAGAGGACATTCCTTCATTTCAACTGTGCGAGTGTGTCAGAAACTCATAAACATAGGAACTGATGGTGTCAGCACAGTGTGAATGTCATGTTTTTGACATTTCTGATCAGCCAATATAAATTATAAGCTTGAGTCATAATTCACACAAATGTGGTAAAAACCRACTTTTATACTTGCCTGCAAATGTCTGCTGCACCAATTTATACAAGAAAGAAACGTTTCGAAAGAAAAACAATATTTTTTTTAGGGCTGAAGATGAGTATCTTCATAGAAAAGTTGCCATCAACTGTTCACAATGTGTTGTAAATAWAATAATATAGTTGAATAATAAAAACTGATAGACCCTTAAGATTAAGATAAGTACAACGTTTTTGAATAATGATATAAAATATCAGAATAATTTGTCATGCAGTGGAAAGTCACCCCTTGGTTTTTCAATGATGAAATCTACTGTCTTGACTAATGTTAAGCCTAAAATCTCCCACAAAAATGCTGCACAGTTAAATCATGAAAACCCCCTCTTGCCAATAAAAATATAAAAGTTTCTGAAAGTTCAGATTCTGCTCTTACAGCATGTCTCATGTGCATTCCACCGATAGTCCCCTTCTCTCCCCTCCCTCCACTACTGATAGCCCCTTTTCCCTCCCCCTCCCTTCTCTCCTAATAAAAAACAAATGGTCCAATTTAAACAGGCATATATACAAACACTCYCATATACACAAAATTTTATGTAAATTCTTCATAGCCTGTAGTGGCTATAGGGCCCGGGGGTGGGGTACTCCCCTATATTCGCTATACGGGGACGTGCTGCCAACCAGGGTATCGTTTTCAGTGATTTTACTCTGGAACTGGGTATTGTTTTTTAAGCGATTTTACTCTGGAACAGGGTATCGATTTCAACGAATTTTCTCTGGAACAGGGTCAGGGTTTAATTCTGGAATTATTGATGCTGGGTAAAAGTTCATGGGGTAAAAATTCGGTCTACACGCAGGCTAGTGAGAATGAGAAAAAAAAACTTGCCATTGTAAAAACCCTAAATTATGATATTAAATTCCATGAGTTTGCTTCAAAATCACATTTGCTAAAATTAATTATTGAATTTAGAGTATAAATATTTTTTCATAAATGCTATAACAGTAATCTTTCACAGAAATCAAATTAGAATTCAGTTATTGGATTTGTCAGACACACCTTCAAACCCTTTCAAATTTCTGTGAAAAACTTGCAAATGATGGCATGATGTGAAATTATCCTAGTGGGGGTGAGTAGAGGCTTTGAATTTCAATTCATAAAATACTCGGTGTTGTGATTGAAAAAGAAAGAAATTCTAACGTATTACTAAAGATTTTAAAAATACAGTTATTTTATTATCAGGTTTGTTAGGTTTTGCCCTAAAATCTAGAAAGAAAATACGACGAAAAAAAAATGTTCCTAAGGGCTCCCTAGTGATAATAAATGATGATGTAATCCTTATTTGGGTCTAGAAGCATTGCATGCCGGATGTCTGCAGTGAAGGCTCGATCGAAGTCCTTTACACGGATACACGCCATATTTGTTATCGAGTTAATTCAACTAAATCGCCTAGAAAAGAAATCTTATAGCCCTCAAAATACATTCTATACTCTTACAAACACTCATAGTGTATAAAGAATGCCTCTWTTGGAGAAACTGTCGTCTTTAAAAACGATATCGTCGAAGCGATTTGTCTWTGACGATGAAGGCTTRTCTTCCAAGAATAGTTCACCTCATCCGRCTTTCGAAAAGATGAAATCTTGTGACTATTCAGTTGAGGTGTCATCAGAAAGCTCTGAAGATGAGGAATCTTTTCCTTGGGCGACAGATAAATTCGCTAAGCAAAAGGAAGCAGGAAGCAAGGAGTTGTTGCTTGTGTCGCTACAAGATGAACCCAAGGAAGACCGACTAGAACCAAAGTCGCTTGACATTTACGACATCGATCCTAAAAAGAAGTCCTACGAGTGGAAGCTTGGGGCGCTGGATCAAGGAAGGAAACAATCGCCCGTAGAAAGCGACGACCTGACTTGGACACCTTCGTCTTTGAAAGTGGCCGTCGAAACATTGTGGGGCCGTGTTCCTTCCAAGAGTCCYTTCTTTCCGTTCTTCGAAGAGAAGAAGCCATGCGAAAGCGAACATTCAGGTTAGTTTTATCAGATCAGAATTATCTTATTGTACAAATGTGGTATAAAATGTTGGTGTTTACCCTGGTTCKAGAGGTTTCTCTGTGTTATTCTCTGTGAAAATCTCTCCGTTCTTCGCCGRGAAGCGGCGACATCGTGCTGCGTAGCAGCGAGCCGAGAGATTCTCTCGAGAGAWTCTCTCGGCTCGCTGCTACGCAGCTCGAAGAACGGAGAGATTTTCACAGAGAATAACACAGAGAAACATCTGGAACCAGGGTAGTTGGTGTTATTTTAACAACTAAATTCCTTTGGGTTCCGGCCGTTCGCAAAGCTTTTCATTTGTTTGCTCATTTTTCGCAATCTTCCTGTTAGTTCTGATAAATATAGTATTTATAGCTTTATTTATTCATTCTTGAGCCAAAGACTAGAATCACGGACGATTTTTGAGAGAATTTCGTGTTACTTTCACTTTTGAATCTCGTCGAGACATCGGACATCACGAGATCCAGTTTGAGAGACTGTTAGGGGAGGGGTAGGGCGACCAGTTTCGATGCTCAACATTTTATCTCGTAAAAGTGCTCTCATTTTGTTAGTATTTATACTAAAATGATGAAATAGATATCCTCTGACAGTTTTTTTACATTTAGTGAGATTTCTTGAGTTTGTAGTTAAACAAACGTCTTCTCTGAGCTTATTATGGCAAATATGGCGTCAGTGGATCTTGAATTAGCCCCCAACAAGGAAGAACCCTCAGTATCGCATCATTTTTGTCTCATATTATCTTGATAATTATAAACTATAGTGACATCTGACGATTATCTGTACTCTTGCAGAGAGTGAGAAACCCTCATCAACCATTGTAAAGAAAACAGAGCCAAAGAAAAGAAAAGAGATAGGTGCTCCTGCTGAGAAATCTGTTTTGACACCAAAAAAGAATAAAGTGTCTGCCGAGAAGAAAAGAGTTTTCAAAAGGTAAAGAAAATTACTAAAATATCAATAATTCATTGTTATATTGTACTCCTTCAATCATTGTATTATTATTGTTAGTGTTATTGCATTGGCATTGTAGAATATTGAATAAACAAATCTACAAATAAAAGGAATTCATTATAAATTTTGAAGAATAAAGGAGTGATGGGTATACAAGTTATTGATAATTTTATGTAAGTTTGAAGTATAGAATCTTTTTGTTTTACTTTTTTAGGCATGGTATTGGGAAAAAGAAGAGGAARATATATGAGATAATTGTTCCAGATGTTGATAATAAAGTAAAGAGAAAAGCCAAAAAAGTGACAAGACCAAAACAAAAGCCAAAGAGGAGTGTTTCCAGCYCAAATTCATATGAAATTCCTTCWGGCTACAGTTGTGTTGACTCAGGTGTGAGTGCTGGAAACAGTTACAGTAGCAATGGTGGCAATGAAAGTGGAGCATACAATAATGGTGGCAATGGTGGAAGTAACTGTGGGGGRGGTGGTGGGGGTGGTGGCTTCCACAAGAAGGGAGGTTTAGGAGGTCATGGRGGYGATGATCATGATGGGAAAAAGCCATTTAGTRCCYTTGATGTCAACATGGAAGAGGAGGAGGAAGAAGATGAGGAAGATGATGTCAAGATGGTCTCCAAGAGTAGTTCACACATGGACTGTGATGAACAAGGACAAGGTTTTGTCCATAGCACCCCTTATGAGGTACTTAACTGACATTTGCTATTCAATACCAGTATTTATTCCAATGTTAATAATCTGTTATTTTATCTCTCAGACATTCAACTTCAAGTCGCAGCATCTCCAGCATGCTGCATACTGTCGTAATGATAACTGCACCAGACCTCTCTGCCATGAGGTTAGTGGTAGATATTTTGTTTGTTGTTGTTGTTGTTGCTATTTTTGTTGTAAATGATAAAATAATGCTATATACTTTACTTGCATAAAGTATTATACTAAATTGTCAATGTTGTCTACAGATGAAAAGAGAAATASAACATATACACAGTCACAACTGCAATGAGAATTGCCATCGTTGCTGCAAGACTCTCCAATTGGTGAAYTARCATGCAGCAAATTGTAAATTGCCTTGCTGCCGAGTGTATCTGTGTAACAGTTTAAGGTATACMCTCCTTATTAAGACCTTTTGGCAAGTTACTTTAAGTACTTTAAGTATATTTATTGTTGTGAAGTAATATCAGGATTGTGGAATATGTATAAAATCTTTATGGTTTAATACAATAGCAAAATCCTAATGTAACATCCTTTGTTTTTTGTTGTTGTTTTTTTAGAGAAAAGAAAGATGTTGTGCAGGAGCCAGTTCCTGTACTTCAACATCCACCAGTTCCAACTTTCATTCCAATATGGAACAGTCAACCAGATGTTGATGGGCGAGTAGTTCTCAATGTGAGTTTTATATACATTTCTTTTGGTGTTGTATTTTACTTTTCTTTTTACCGTTAATCAAATTTAATTTGTTGATATGACCTACTAAACGTTTGACTATATGCATTTCCTTTTTTTACAGAACACTAAGCTAAAGTTTGGGACATACTTCCAAGAAAATATAGACTACATCAAAAACGAAAAAGTGGGAAATGGGACTAATGGCCATGTGTACAAAGTTCAATTCACTCCAACATCACCATTGTATAATGTACCAAATCAGGTGGTTAAAGAGGTAGGACTTACTTGCTTGTTTGTATTCTTCTTTTGTTTTTCTATCTTTTGTATTCWGATACCCTGGTTCCAGATGTTTTCTCTTCTTTTATAGATGTTTTTTTAGTATTTATCGTATTTTTGTCTTTGCGTCTTTGAGAATCTCACTTTCATGCCACCCACTTTGGATCGGCGTCTGTGATTGGTGYAAATATTTAATTTCTAAAGCAGCAATATTATTGGTTTGAAAATATAACCCTTGGGTGGGCATAAGTTAATCCTTTCTTCTGATTTGCTGGCAAGAAATGACATATTTGTCAATTATTATTATTATTGAATTACTGCAAATCTATAATAGAATCTTGACTAATTMTTTTGAAAATGTTTTGTTTATAGACAGGATATCAGATATCCAAAGAAGAAGTTGAAGTTTATAAACTCATTGGTGATCATCCCAATYTCCTAAAACACAATCTTGTGGTAATGAAGGGAAGCAGTGGACATGCCTCTATATTCATGGAAGAATGTGGTTAGTATGACATTATATGATGGTTAAATAAAATATATTTGATATAATAAAATATATATTATATATTAAAATATTTAAAATCTTGCTTGCTTTTCCTTAAAATTTTCTGAACTCCACTACCTTGCTGTTCTAGTCTTCACTATTTTGTCCTATTTTTCTGTTGTTGTTGTTGCTGTTTATTCCAATTTACAGAAACTCAAACCAAGACCACTTTGATAAAACCAGCAAAAAATTATAAAATCATTGATATGGTATCTCCCTTCCATTGCTCTTGTTTTCTTCTTGAAATAAAAGCAGCAACATGATTGACTAGTTGTCAATGTAGATGGTCCTAGTTAGAGACTTGTGTCTTCATTGAAAGTCTTTTTCTTTAGACATGTCCCTCAAGGATATACTTTGTCAGCATCGCATGGACGACAAGGAGTGTATATTTTATTTCCATCAAGTTGTTGATGGAGTAAAGCACATCCATGACCAAGGAGTGATACATAAAGATATCAAAGGTATCAAAATGTGATCTTGGTCATCATTGTTAAGAAATTTGTGTTTCCTAAATTGCAAAAGGGAAATAGTAGAGCCACACTCTGCTCCATGTTTTTCTATATTAACATAGCATTTTACTGAGGCAGTATTGTGTATTGATGTGAATGTTATGAGCTGCATTCAGCTTACATACATAGCTGTATATCCAGTGTTGTTAGTCTAGTGGTTTACAACAAGTATTCTACGTGCCCAAGTCAGTTATTTATTTATTTTTTTTTGTTTCTTTATTGTTAGAAAAATGTAAAGATAAAATATCATTTTTTTTGAAAGGAAGTTTCTTAATTTATGCAAATCATCACAAATCTTTTGCTCATATTTATAAAGATTCAGTCACAACAATGATTTTCCATTGTGTTTACTTCATGATTTATTAATGAATTTGACAATTGTTATTGCAGCCCAAAATATCCTCTTGTCAGGATTGGTGGGTAATGGTGAACACTTGAGGGCAAAGCTTGCAGACTTTGATGCTGCCAAAATCCTTGAAAGTGAATTCACTGCTAGTGGCTTGAAACCTATGGGTACYCAAGGATTTGTGTCTCCTGAGGTAATTTRAATATATCATAATAACTACAAACTTTATTCTTGACTTTTGCTTATGTCATATTCAATTTCAATAAAGGTGTAAAGGATGTGAATTTGATTTGAAAGTGACTTTAGCTACAAGTCAAGAATTTTGATTATTTTAGTACTGGCATGTTTTTGTTGCTTCTGAAGTGTGTAGTCCTTTATGTTGGTAGTTGAATTAGTAGATTGATGTTTTTTCTTCAATTTTCTCTCTTTATTTCTTATTATTTTCCCTTGTATATTTTTGTTAATGTTGATTTGTTTGTTCAAGGTGATGCAATGCCTCCCACATGGAAGGCCAGCAGACATCTACAGCTTYGGCTGCTTGTTGCTTGAGATGAAGGGTTTTACACCTAATCTTGATCAACTTGATATGCAGCGTGAGGAGCTTGGGAAGATCAGCCCAGARCTCAGCAYGATTGTGGAGTTATGTGTGCAAAAGGTATTAATTGAAATATCCCAAATTATATTATTAATTATGTAGTTGTTTCTTAACATACCTATCTATGAGATAAGAGCTTTTGTTGTAATGAAATTGTTTTCTATCCTTCAATTGTTGSATCTCATTGTTTATTCAGTCTGTCACAATTCCCTCACCATGCTGTAGTGGTAGTCAGTCAATACCAGCATAGTAAGCTAGTGTGAATTAAATAAASCCTGCATTTGTTTAGGATCCTGGAAAAAGACCTACTGCCGCAGATATGCAACAAATTCTTCAAGGGTGCAATGTTACTGGTAAGTGAATAATGTTAACTATCAATGTAACTAATTAGTTTAAGGAACAGAAGAATACATGAATGACTGGGTGAAAATGTGGATGTGTGAATAGATGAATGACTGGAAGTGGGATGAACCAAATCTAAGGATGGTTGAATGTAAATTTCAATGAGTAAATGTTTCGATGAAAAAATTAATGATCAAAGGGTAGTGTTTCTCATAATAAGTTGCGATAAAAAGACAAGATGAAAGAAGACTTGCTGACATTTCATACATTGGTCCTAAGTCAAAGGTTTCTTTTTTTATTAAAAAAAAATGACTAACAGCCAAAACGTTGGTTGGTTTTCTCTCTGAACAGTTTCCCAAAAAAATTTCTAAAAGCTTCTTTTAATTACTGATATCGTGATATACCATTACTGATATATGTTTGTTTGTTTTTATTACAGATGCACTGTAGTTACATTCAACTTGCATCAAGAGGCACACTTCCCTTGGACAAAATTTTTCTGCTGCCTTTCGTGTTTTTAACCCGTAGATTGAGTTAGCAATCGAAAAGTCATTAAATGACAAGCTTTTCATGAAGCTGCATCACTAATGTAAATATTGAATATACAAAAAATGAAAAATAAATAAATAAATAAATAAAATCAAAAATAATAAAATTCCCCCCAAAAATTTCCACTTATAGGTWAATGATAAAATTGTAAATTGCTGGTAGGTTTACAAACAGAAGTGCTGTAAAAATGCTTTTAATAGCTGTGCTATTTTTAAAATAAAAAGTAGTGGAAACTTCAGTTGT